ACAGAGCCCGCCGATGTTTTTGCCAAGGTGCGAAGTTTTTGTAAAAACCTCTACACCACACAACCCATTGACCTAAACGCTCCAAAAAAAATTTTCGATATCAATACTCCTACCCTAAATCGAGAAGACCGAAACAAATGTGAACGTCTAATTACCATGGCCGGAATTACAAAAGCAATCAAAACAATGGAACTCAATGAATCACCTGGCCTTGATGGCTTAACAACTAATTTCTATTTACAGTTTTGGCACCTCTTAGCGCCGGAATTACCGCAATTCATAATTATGCCTACACTCATGGCAAATTCTCGCAACGTAGGGCCGTCATAAGCCTGATTTTCAAAAAAGGTGACCGGACCAGGCTCTCACAAGGAAGACCAATTTCCCTCCTTAACATGGATTATAAAATCGTAGCCAAAGCCCTCGCTAATCGTTTAACTTCTGTACTTCTCAACATTATTCACCCGACCCAAACCGTATCCATCCATCACGCAAAATCAATGATAATGCCAGCCTCATTCGTGACGCGCTACCATATGCAAATGAAATAAACACTCCACTCACCTTTATCTCGAACGATCAACTAAAACATTCTATTGCGTCTCCCACTCTTTCCTATTTGAATCCCTCGCTAAATTCGGTTTCGGGCCACACCTCATACACTGGATAAAAACCCTCTACAACAACATTATGAGCAGTGCTAGAACCAATGGCTGGCTAAGCGCATTCATAACGCTACAACAGGACCTGAGACAAGGATGTCCATTGTCCGCCCCATTATACATCATCACAGCTGAAATAATGGCCACGCACATCCGACCCAATAAAAATATTCATGGCCTTTTGACACCAGGCTCAAACGAAAAAATAAAAATCTCCAAATACGTGGATGACACTTCCCTTAAAGGTGAATGTCCTTAAAGGTGAACGATTCGTATCTTAACGACGACCTGAGCATTGCCAATTGTATGAATTCTTATTTCTCATCGGTGTTTACTGTTGAGGATCACGAAAACTTTCCCGACCTTGAATATATTACAGATGAGAAATTATGTAACATCTTTTGTTCTGCCACGGAAGTTGAGAAATTGCTAAGAAATTTGAATATTTACAAGTCCCCCGGGCCCGACTACATATCACCTCGCATCCTAAGAGAATGTGCTCAAGTGTTGTCATCTCCACTGGCTTTATTTTTGAATACATCCTTCTCTCAAGGTCAACTACCAAGTATATGGAAGTCGGCCCACATCACTCCAGTCCATAAGAAAGGGAGCAAAAATCTCATGGAGAACTACCGCCAAATATCACTGACTTGTATTGTTTGCAAGATTGCAGAAGCTGTGGTAAAGTCCCGTGTGGTCGACTTTTGGTCAGACCTCAATCTTTTTAATCCAGACCAATTTGCGTATCTAAGGGGTAAATCGACGTTGGCACAATTACTTACATGTTACAATGACTGGGCAAAGGCTAGGAATTGCTCGCAACAAACGGATATCATCTTCTTAGATCTCTCCAAGGCTTTCGACAGCGTGCCACACGAGCGCTTGCTGCTGAAACTACAACGGTATGGGATAGACGGCTCTCTACTACTGTGGATTAGAAATTTTTTGACGAATAGAAGGCAGCGTGTAGTGTTAAGGGGCAATTGTTCAGACTGGTCACCCGTGATTTCAGGTGTGCCTCAAGGAACAGTACTCGGCCCAATCCTATTCATTATTTATATAAATGATATTTCGGCAAACATTGCATCAACCGTGAAAATCTACGCTGATGATACTAAAATCTATCGCAAGATCATGGAGCCTGATAAGGATATACCAGCCTTACAGCTGGACTTGAACAAATTAAGCGATTGGGCTAACAAGTGGCAGTTGCGCTTTAATCCTGAAAAATGTGAAGTTATGCGTGTAACGCACAGTAGAGACAGATCCAAGCCTAGTTATTCCCTTGGTACGCAACTAAAATCTGTCGACAGCGCCAAGGACCTAGGGGTCACAATAAACTACGATCTATCTTGGGGTAAACACGTTTCCCACATAGTAAACAAGGCGAACAAAGTGTTGGGTATAATTAGGCGATCACTTGGAAACGATAATCGCTATGCGTTTTCCTGCCTCTTTAAGTCGTTAGTAAGACCTATACTCGAATACGCTGTCCCCGTCTGGAGCCCCTACCAAAAAAAGGATATCGAATCCTTGGAAAAAGTCCAAAGAAGGGCATCTCGGTTGGCATTAAAGCAAAAACGCGGAGAAATGAGCTATGAAGACCGCTGCCGCCTACTGAATTGGCAAACTTTGGAGAAACGAAGAGAGTTTTTATCTCTGATCCAGTGCTACAAGATAGTTCTGGAAATAGATAGTCTTCATTTTTCGGACTTACTAAATGTAATCGAACTAGAGCCAATCACGATTATAAGCTCTATGTAAAAATAGCTATCGTAAATTGCTACAAATTTTCTTTTTTTGTACGGATCGTTAATATGTGGAATAATTTGCATAAAGATATTGTACACGCAGGATCATTGACTTTATTTCGTAACAGACTAGAGAGTTACATGAATATTGATTGAGATGATGGTAAACAGTTTTTAATTATCAGTATATAATGTTTTGATCTTTTTATTCGGGGAATCTTTTATATAGGGTTAACCTCTAGAATATCCCCTTTCGAGAGATACTTTTACAATTTTTTATTTTCCTTTCTCTTGAATAAAGTATTGTATAGTATTGTATTGTATTGTATTGTATTCCCATCTTCTAACTGACGAAGAATCGATTCAAAAGGCTTTTGCGACCTTGAAACTATATGAACAAGTCTCTGCCGCTCGCGTTAATCAATCAAAATGTAAGGGACTCTGGGCTGGAGCCCTCAAAAACCGCATTGAGCAACTGCTCACCTTTGAGTGGTACAATGACTACATCCCAGACAAAATCCTTAGACTCTACTTTGGCAATGTAGACTACAATAATCTCAACCTTCAATCCCCCCTTAAAAAAATTACCGTTACCGTCAATGTCTGGTTGTCACGCAACCTCAGCCTTAACACTAAACTCAGCCCAACACATCGATCGCTCTATCCCCCCATTCCACTGCAAACTACTCCTAGCTTGGCTCAAACTCTCCCCCCATATCACAACCGAGGTAACACTCAACCTCCCGACTATTCTAGCCCAGCCAATTTACCTCAACCTCCGATTGCAATGTGCAGAACATACATTCTTCCTCGCCTATTGTATAAAAAGCGGAACCACAATTGCCTGACATATGCTACAAAGTCATCCCCGGTTTTCTGCATGCCGGGGCAGTCTGCAAACTTTTCTCGGACTCCCCCTGGAGCCAGATTGCCCGAGAATTCAACACTATAATCTCAGCCATCCCCCGTGAATGGCTACACCCTGTAACATCTACTATTGCGCCAACACCCCACCTAGGTCATGCTAACTGCTTTCACTATACCCCTCACTCAAATCTCCACCAAGGGCTTCTAAAAACTCCTTACGGCCACAGACCGGCCAACAATCCCTGGCCTACAAAATTGGCTAAGAACTCTCAACCCCACCCTAAGATTTACCTCTGCTTTTTGGAAATCTCTCCACAGCCCAATGCTTCCCAACAAATTCCGCGATACCACCTGGACAATAGTTCACCGAGTCCTCCCACACGCCCTTTCCCTATAGCACATCGGCATCCACCCTCCATACACTGCCCCAAGTGCCATGATACCAAAATGCTAGACCACCTCCTCCTACACTGTCCCGCTCTTAAACTCTTCTGGACGAAAATTACTAAGAATGTGACCAACATATCAAATGACCACATCACCCAACACAAACTTAGGCCCTGTTCGGTGGACGAGAACCAGTGCTTTCCCAGTGGTATAGCTGTAGACATGAGAAAAGAGCGTAAATTTGGCTGGTTATCGGTTAGGTTTTATCTGTACTAGTCCTACTTTCGTTACTCTAACCCCTAACCACAACACCATTACCCTAACCCCAAAATCGTTACCCTAACCCTAAATTCGGTAGTCTAGCCCAACACATTACCTACACCCTAACCCTAACGTCATCACCTAGATCCCACACACACCTTGAGAAGCGTACATTTCAGGCAATATATCCTGTGGTGGGTTCTAGAGATATATGAAGTTTGGTAGATATCCTAAAGAGCACCCTCTTGGTACTTAGTTGTATATGGCTGGCATCTTGAAGTTACACTCACAAGATGACCAACCGAACCAATCAGCCACTGGGTCCATCTGTGGGACTCACAAGGGCTTCTAGGGGCGACCTGCTACTATCCACCACATACTGTGGGAAGGATCACTCTACCACCCCCTTCAATGAGGGTATTGGTGGGTATCGCTTCTCGGCCTTTTGGCTAATGCACCTGTCAATTGAAACCCCCAGCCCCCCACCCCGGGGAAGTATGGGGCATTGATGGGGGTAACTACGGGTTTTGGCACTTTTTTGTGTCCGAGGGGGTGGGGGATTTGTTGTTTTTTGTTGCATCAGTTTTGCCCGTGGGGTGGGGGATTAGTAAGGTTTTGACATTCGTGGACGAGCGAGGACTGAGGCGAGTGAGTCGCACCCATGTGCTTTAGGCGGATTCAAGATGGACGACATTAAGGTATTGTGTTGATTTATATTTTTTTCTAATTAAACTGAGAGCTCAAGAGTTATTTATTATAGTTTTGAAATCGATAAAGATGAAGTAAATATTCTAAAGATGGATGGTATGTTTTTTGCATCGATTTTCAGTGGATATTTCAATGATATTTGCTTGTTCGAAGTCGAGCGCCGATTTCATGTTTTAATAATATTCCAACTCATTATCAGTTGAATTGTTATTGTTTTATTGAGCTTTGGGTCTTGATATTCGACTAGCGAGGACACACACGGCCAAATAGCCTTTCCAATCATTTTACTTTTTTAATTTCTTTGCTTAATATAAAAGCTCTTTTAAATTTTCTTTGAGTTTGAATTGCTGATTCTCGNGGATAATATACAGCCAATCTCCTCTACAGGTATTTATTTTTTATGAAATCGTACTTTAGGCCCGCCCTAAATATTTCTAAACATGTTATTTTCTACATTCCCACAGTCGAAATTGGGCCCATCGAAGATTCAAGCGTAGACGAAAATGTCATCGATACTAGCAGCCACATGGAGGACTCCACCGTAACTACTGACACCACAATCATAACACCTACTGTCAACCTACATGATTATTTATTTACTGAACCCGAAAAGCCTGTAGAAGAGCTACTTGAGGCAGCGCAAGCTCGTATCGAACAATTAGAACAGCTGCTTTCAAAACAATCTTTTTACAGACAACTGAAAGGGATGTCAGACAAACGCGTTAGATTCCATACTGGCTTTTCGTCATTTGCTATTTTTGTGAGTACCTTCAATGCCCTTAGACCCACAGCTGAAAGTATGTTTTCATGGTCCCAAGTACAGAGAGCACGAGCAAAAAGTGGGAAAGATATAAGTAACATGAGAGACACTCTCAAGACATGCAAACTTAGCTTATTTGATCAGTTTTATTTATGCATTACTAAGCTGAGGCTGGGTACTTTTAATGAGAAACTAGCCAGTGAATTTGATATTTCTATTTCAACTGTGAGTAGAGTTTTTATTTCTTGGGTTAACTTTCTCTATTTTGTTTTGGGAACCATTCCTATATGGCCCTCTCGGGCAAAAATTGACAAACATATGCCTAAGTGTTTTAAATTGTTATATCCTAAATGCCGTGGTATTATTGATGCCTCAGAGATAAAGGTACAAGCACCATCTAGTATGGTTTTGAATAGCAATTGCTATTCATCATATAAGAGCCACACAACTTACAAAGGCAATGTTGTAATATCTCCATCTGGGGAAATTATTCATGTAAGTTCTCTTTTTGAAGGAAGTATTTCTGACAAGGAGCTTGTTAAGCAATCAGGTTTGTTGAATTTACTTGAGCCAGGTGATCAAATAATGGCTGATAAAGGATTTACTATAGAGGATCTATTAAAGCCAATAGGTTGTGGAGTAGCAATGCCTGCCTTTTTGTCAAGTAAGGGTCAATTTTCAAAGAAAGAACTTTCAACCAGTAAACAGATACATAATTTAAGAGTCCATGTGGAAAGGGCCATAAGAAGGGTGAAAGAGTTTCACTATTTTGATAAAGTTATACCTCTTACAGTAGCTGGCAGCATTAATCAAATATGGACAGTGGCATGTCTTATTACCAATTTCCAGGGGCCTTTGTTGCATGAAAAGCAATATATCTAAATATGTATACAATTGTTGTAAAATAGATGGAAGAGTAAGCATCATTTAAAGTAAAGTATGTAAGGATCTGTAATACAAATAGTACTAACAACTTTTAACAACTAAGAGTTAGTTGACATTGAGTGAGGGTACACTACGTATTAGGTCCAACCTAGGTAAGAACTATGCCATCTGTTAACATGTGATGTGGAAGGGTGAATAGTAGGGTGGCCCTATCCCCTAGGGGCACCCTTTTCGTATGTACATGGCATATTGGTTAGGCATTAAAATAAACAGTAAAATCAGTAAAAATTATATTGTTAGTACTATTTTTGTTTTACAGATTCAATGCAAGCTTTCAAACTAGCTTTTTGGAAAAAAAATTATGAATTTAATAACTTTACATTTATTCACAAATTTCATTATTGCCAAATATTATAAAAATGCCCTTTTGGGGTTTAAATACAAAACCTGTTGAAGTCATTCATGTATTTTTATTTATCATGTTTGTACAGAATGTTCTGTTTAATAACAGTAAAAAACTATTAAATGGCTTGAAATACACCCAACTTAGTCACAGTATTTGAATGCATGATAAACAATGAAATATGTACAGCTGTTTGTAAAAATTATGGCGCTTACAATATATTACAGACATATAGGCTTAAATGAAACTGAATTATCATAAGTATTGTATTTTTGGAAAAAATACAAAAACTATTAAATTACCAATCATGAACCCAATGTTTTTAAATTTGTGGCAATAATTTCTGCAAACAGCTGTGTAATGATAATTACTAGAACAAGTTCTGAGTCTAATTAGGTTTGACTTGTAATATTTTAACATTTTAAGAATGCTGATTCAAATGTCTTTACTCCACTTCCCACCAAACTTTGTCACACACAATTAGCTTGTTACTTAGGCACGAAGTTATTTTGTATAAGAGACATACAATAAATTATTGAACACATGTATTCAGGTGATAATCAAAAAAAAATAAATTCAGTTTGTCCAGCATTTCAGAAAAGAGAAGTTCATCAAAATATACTCGTTCACAGTGAAATTCGTCCTTGCAGTAAACAAAGAAATCGCACCACTGACTTCCTGTTAAACCAAGGCATCCCATAACTTGATAATAATACTTGTGTGTCTTCTTCAATGAATATGACCCATTTCGTTCATTAAACTTTAAATACTGAAGGTTATCCAGATGACTTGCTGGAGAGCACTTTATTTCTATCAGGCCCCATGGATGTTGTTCAGTGTCGTCAAACACTCTTCTGTCTGGGCTACAGCCTAGGTGTGGGAGACATGGGTTTATAAGAAAACCTACTAGGTGAGTGTCTCTGCCAAACTGTGTTTTGTACATATCAGCAGCTACCCCCTCATTTTGTATCCCATATTTCATGGCTGCAGTTTGGATTACTTTTCCCTTTAGTAAACGCGTAGAAAGGATTTCATGGTCTTTTCTTCTTGAGCATATATCTTTGAAATTTGAAGCTGTAAGCCTAAACTTCCTTAGTTCATGCCATGCTGTTGTAGTTGACTGTTCCCTTGTCTCCATTTCAAAGTCAATAGACTGTTGACCTGATATTGCAAGGGAGCTGAAGAAAAGGTCTTGTTTTTCATTGAGCACTGTATCTGGATAGCTTAAAGATGGAAAGTTGAATGCAGGTAGCTGTATGTTAATATTGCTCTTAACTTTCAATGGCTGTTGATAGCTTATGACACAGCCTTTTGGCACCTTTCCAAAGGCCGAGTCTACTAAAATTGGAGGCTCACTTTGTTCATCTTCCCATATTCTCATAAATCCAGGTTGATTGTTGAGATTTTCAAACTGTGGCGACAGCACACTAGTCAAGTCAAGGCTACTTAATGATTGCTGGAAGGGTTTGTAGATCGTGCTTGCCACACCACACACCTTTCTCTTCTTTTTAGGTTCATGCAATTTATCTTTTGGCTTTGACTTTTGTATAATCAAATCTGTCACTGGCCTTGCTTTAATGCCCTCTTTACGACTGGGGATATGCCATCTCTGCAAAAAAATAATATACAAATATACTATATGAATTCAAAATTGCTTATTGTGTTATGTTTAAAAACAGCAGTGTGATTAAAAGGAGTTTTTAAGGAAAAATATTGCTAAGATACAGTCAAATCTCTATACATTAATGACTGTTTTTTCTTATTGTTTATCATCAAATCTATTATTATTATTATTAAATTTTACCTGTGCCTTTGATGTTTTAGAAACCATTGGCGGGACACTTTTTAAGCCTAATAGCTGGAAATGGGCAAGAGTATAGAGCAATCCAAGAACATGATGGCAAAGACCTTGTCCAGCAGCACAACTACACATATACTTGTTGATGCTAGCCTCAATAGAGGAGCTCTCGAACACAACAGACAACTTGTGAGGATCTTCGTTCTTTTTCATACTTCTGAAGCATTTAGCCCGAGCCACTACTCCTGAATCCTCTTCCTTGCAAAGTTTTACTGTTAAAAACCGAGAAAAAAGAGTTAAAACTCAAAAGACTGAGCACAGAAACAAAATATTGGAAAGACAGTCAAACAAAGAAAGCTACCACGAGGTCAACGAGGCTCACCTTCAATATCGTGAATATATTCTTCGTGAAAGAATTTATATCCTCTTGTTACAGTGGCTTTGATCGGTAGGTTCTTCTCAGCAAAATCCTCAACAAAAGAGTTTGTAACTTTGGGTATTTTTGTTATATTTTTGTGCCAAAATTCGAGTTCAACGCTATCGCTACTAGTCGCCATTTTGTTTGTGAACTTACCACGCGTGGCCTCGACCTCATGTAAAATATTCAATGACGTAATCCAAGATGGCGGGCCGTGACAAAGGCGAATTCGCTCAAAATCGCTAAATTGCTTCCCGACTTTGGAGAGAAAATTACGGGCATTGACTCTCAATTCGGAGGCAGATGTTTTGACATCACCCTTGCTACCGCCGCTGATGCGGCTACACTTGCTATAGCCAGTTACGATTACGGCTAAGAGCGAAAACCTCAGAGACTGCTGGGCACAAAATGTGTCCATGTGTCAGTTTTCATTTCAGTGGAGTTCCCCGACGACGATCTAATGACAATTTTGAGCTCATACTGTAAGCTAAAAACGAAAGACCTTCACCGTTTCTAATCCCTGGAGGAAACAGGGACATTTCCAAACGCCTCGTCGTTGCGAAAATAGAAATAGCGTTCGAGTACTCTGGACAGCCCACAACGTGTTACCGCTGTCAATCAATGGAGCACGTGGTGAATAACTCCCCTAAAAATCGCCGAGCATCAGCACCCCCACCCCCCAAACCCGCTCAACAAACCGAGCCTACACCCAAAGAAGGCCACGACCTAGCAACAGCGGAAGAAATGCCGGCGCACCCGATTCCCAGCGACTGGGGAACACACAGGTAAGACCTTTTTTTCTCCGCCCAGCTACACGCAGGCCGCTTCCTTCTCACTGGACGACTCAGCCATGTTCACCACTAACACCCACTGGCAAAAATGGGATGCCCGCCCCCCCTGCTAGCAGTGACGAAGAATTTTCTGTACCCCCAAGCAATTCACGTTAACCCAGGCTTCTTGCCAGGAAACTTCCTAGCCAGCGAGCGATTCCACCGACGGCACCCTCTTATAATAATTCACACACCTCTTCTGACAAAACTGCCTCATCGCCTACCCCACCAGAAAACCACACCGCGACAGCGACCTCTTGCCTTAAAGCTTTTCTCAACACCATGGATCACCCAGGACCTAACCGTAAGGTGTTCTTCGCCTCAGTGCCCAGGCCCCTCTACTACAAATGCGGTTCCACTATCTGTACCACAGCCATGGAAATTATAGAAAGGACAAAGGCCGTAAATATAAAATCTCACCAGCAACCCAGGAGCACTGGCACCAGCTAAATCACACAGTTCGACAGGATGCTTTTGCTCTTCTGCTCAAATTACATCACGAGGCCATCAAGGCCTAAAAAATCTTTTTAGAGTGTTAACAATGTTTAAATTTAATTTCTTCCTTTTCCTTTTCCTTATAGCGGTTGTCCATTTGCACGATAAACGTAATTGCCATAGCCGAATTTTCCAAACGGGAAAAAGTTTTCGCCCACCTGAAAAAAATATAATTTCGATGTCTGTCTCCTACAGGAGACACATTTACAAGACACCCAGATAGGCGAATTATGGGCAAAACAGTGAGGCGGTCTCACACGCTGGTCGCCAGGCACAACGCGATCGGCTGGTGTGGTTTTACTTACCCATCCAAATAGCACGGTTCAACTTGAAAATTATTCTATAGATATGGACGGCCGGCTTATTGCGCCAAGCCTTTTCGAGCAGGGTCGTTCGGTCAATATTATCAACGTTTACGCTCCTAACAACCATTCTCACTGCATAGCATTCTTTGCAAATTTGTGGTGGTACGCCAACCACAATACAGACAATATTGTGGCAGGCGTGGACAGAAGACATTGTTATTTGGCACTTTTAATGATTATCCTATGATTTCCAGAACATTCTTGATTAGTCCTTTGAGAAGGTTCTAGTGGTTGCCACATGACTACGTGACGTCTATTTATAGAAACTCGAGTTGTTTACCGAAAATTCTGGAAAATTCTATGATGTAATGTTACTAAATATAGTCGTGTTGTAAATCTATAGAATTTTCTAGAAAGATTGTAAGGAACTATATAAGAAGGTGCAGTAGGTTGTTGCTTTTAGACGAAAAAGAAGAAAAAGAAGAGGAAAAGATAAAGGAAATAAAGGAGCTAGTGAAAACAATTCATTTTAAGGTTTATCACGAAACCAGATTGGTAGCAGAGCGAGGTTCCATGAAGAAGACGAGGAGAAACTCAAGTTGCATCCATGGGTAAAAGAAGGAGCAAGAGAAAGGGAGCATTCTACAGCAAGGAGAGAGATGGAAATGAGAGCCCTCAAGTCAGAGGAAGATCTAAAGAAGAAAATAACACTGTAGAAAAGCAAACGCAATCGCAGTCAAGGAGCAAAGCGGCTTTCACGAGAGCAAGACATGGACTTCTACACTTAGTGGAAGAAGACTTACCCAGTCGCAATCAAATAAGGGAGGAACGAGAAAAGCTGGACAAGCAACTAGACAAAGTAATGGGGGATTTAGAGGGCTTGTCCACAGTTTGCAAGAAAAGACAAGATACCGCAAATGTAAGAAAGTTGAGTCAAAAAATAGAGAGAATCGAAGAAGAGTTCACGCACGCTCAGAATAGGACACAAGAGTACCTGGACTCCATAAAAGATGAATTATCAAGTATGGCGTCGAATATTTCACAAAAGGTTAGACAAGCTCAAGAGGAAATGGTGAAAGTAAAGAAGAAAGCAGAGCAAATGGAAGCAAGCATATTGAAAGAAGCTATACAGTCAGAAAAGAGAAAAGTAGAAGAATACGCTAAGAAAGTGACAGAACTTGAGGCTGGATCACTGCAAAAAAGAGACCAACTCATCAACGTTAAAGAAGAAGTTAAAAGAATACAAGTCAAGATCGAAAAAGATTGACAAGTAACTGCAGCTAGAAGAGGACTCTGTCGGCAGGGTGGAATACAGTCATTTTGAGGAAGGTGAACAAAAGCCAAGGATTAAGATGGAGAACTAAGGCGGGTTAAAGATCAAAGGTCAAGAACAGGTGGAGACCGCGAAGGGAAAAGTGTAACCAGCGATGGAAATTGGTCAAGACCTTTGGAAACAGCTAAAAAGAGTATCGATCCCTGTGTTCAACAAAGACAAAACCAACTAAAAGAATTGGGAAGCAGCCTTCGAGGCATGCATTGACAAGGCACCAGCTACTCCAGAATATAAGCTACTCCAGCTTAGGCAATATTTGTCAGGAGAAGCGCTCAAGGCAATAGAAAACCTGCGTCATTCAGCCTCCGCTTACAAAGCATTAAAGAGCAGGCTGGAGAGGAAATACGGCAGGAGAAGAAGGCAGATTGCCCTGCATCTTGAAGAACTTGATAACTTTAAATCAGTAAGGCCGGGACACCCAAATGATATAGAGAGATTTGCAGACATTCTGGATATCGCAGTTGTCAACCTGAAGGAAGAAGGGCGATACGAGGAATTGGGTAATGGGTCACTATATGCTAAGCTGCAGAAGAAAATGACGGAGCAGATGTTGGCACAGTACCATAGATGGGTGTATGAAAGAAACAAAACAGAATGCGTAGAAACTTTACGAGAGTAGCTGCTACAAGAGGCGGAGCTCCAGACCATAGACTCTGAAACACTATGTGGAATATCAAGAAGCTCATCTGGCACGCAGCGGAAAGATCACACATACTTTGGCCAGCCAAGATTCCAAAGCAGCTTTAAGGGTCAACAAAGAGACAGAAATCGAGCATGCACAGTCTGCGGAGAGGGGCATCCAGTTTGGCTATGTAATAAATTTAAGGAGATGCCTTTACCTGAACGATGGGAAACGGCGTTCATGTTACAGATGTTTAGGAGCCAACCATGTCCGTCAGTCATGTACAAGGTCAAGAATCTGTGGCCTGAATGGATGTATAGATACACATAACAGATTGTTGCATGAGGCTAAAAAGGAGAGAGTTGGATAAGAAGAAGAGTACCAGTGATCAAAAGGCCAATGACACACAAGAGGCAAAGCAAGATGCACAAGGACCAACCAGAGGGGAGGCAGCAGAGATCCGAGAGATCACACATGACCACGGTACATGCGAAAAAAAACGTCAAGTAGGAATACATTGCGTTGAGAACAGTACCCGTGATACTAAGGAATGGAGGGCAGAAGCTAGTCGTAAATACACTGCTGCACGACGCCAGTACCATGACGTACGTAAATAGCGATGTCGTTGCTGAGTTGGGACTACAGGGCGAGAGTCGTAAAGCGACGGTCAACATTTTTAATGGCCGGGAAGATACTTTCAAGACGATGCCAGACAAGTGTGGGATAGAGAGCTTAGATGGTATGGTAGAATAAGCACGAGGATTACTGCGTTCACAGCAAACAGAGTTACAGGCAACATGAAAGCAGTTAATTGGGCCAGGTACGCCAACAACTGGCGTATATACGTACGATTCAAGAGAACGAAATTGGGCCAGGTACGCCAAGAACTGGCGTATATACATACGATTCAAGAGGACGAAAATCGTATGCCGCAGCATCCAAGACGGCTTTCTTTACGCCACATCAACAAACGTCTTCTCGTTCTGTCTTCGACGCACTAGCTGGCTCTTGTGTCTATCCAACAGAGATTTCACGTTTCCAGAGAAAAATGAATGGGGAAATTGTGGTCACATTTAAGTCTATGGAAGCAAACGATAGGTTTCTTGGCCTACATTCGCTTTTAATTGACAGCCAAAGCTACGCCCTACAAGACATAGACAGGCCATTAACATATTTAACTATCTACGATGCGCCTTTTTTAATTACCGGATTTTGCAATTATAGAGCACCATCCCCGTTCTGTGACGTTGCACACTACCATTGAGGAAAGCACAGCTATGCACAGAACATATACCATGGCCTAAGGCATTACACAGTTAAAATTACTCAGCCAATCCCAAGTTTTCTTCACTTTGGGAAGATGCAAATTTACCTCAAACATAATGGCCAACACCTGACACTCCTTGCATGATTTCACTGAACCTAGCCAACCTGACCTTGAACAACCATCTGACCTTGTAATTGAACAACCCTACGAATAACCACCTGACCCCGTAATCGAACAGTCGTCTTCTGCTGGATCACCACTCATCACTTCACAAGGTTTAATTTCCTCACATCATCTTCTGCGAAACTCTCCAATGACTTATCTCTGGCCTGCTCTTTAAAACCTACCCAACCAACACCTGTCTCTGGAAAA